GTTGGACATCTTCTATTCATTTCTTCTCTGAGTGACCATTTTTGATTGAAACTAATGTATTTCTTAGGATTATTTGTTTTTTACTTTCAGAATACATTTTTCATTTTAAAAGCCAGTGAGAAAAATACAATTCACAATTCAGTGTTTTTAAAAAAATCACTTTTCTGGAACATATCTACTTAACTGACAGTTTAATAACAACCTCTCAGCAAGATGACATATGTTTAGATATACAATGATAAAATGAACTTTTCTTTGTTTCAGCAATTACTTTTATCATTTAAGAGAATGATGTTTATTTCTATTGGTGCTCATAATGTTTTAATATGAACTTACCTTACGCTGAATAATTTTATATTTAAGATATGAGGTTTCCAGCATGAAATCCTTCTCACAAATTTAAACACAAGAAAATCTTTGGTCTAGAATTAAAATCTGTTTAATGTCTAAAAAATACCAGAAGCCTCTATTGGAGTCAGAAAAAAATGTATACTTCAGTAAAATTTACAACAGGGGGGATGGGGGAGTCATGAGGAGTTTAAAGTACATTTCATAGTCTTAAATGTTGCTAGAAAATGCATTCCAGTCATTTGAGACACCACAGCCTGACTGTTTAATGATAAGCTATCTGATAGGCAGTTTTCAAATACCAATTTCTTAGAATGTTTAAAACCTCCAGTTCTTTTTCTCATGTGCATAGTTATGTATCTGTAAATGGAAATAAGATACATGAGAAATTCTGGCTAGTGACACGAAGCAGAAATGGGTGGCCATGCTGTGTTATCTTTTACTAAACTGCAACTGGCACAAGGATAAAGTATGAGCTACCCTTGCTAACAATCATGTGTTTCTTTCCTTCCTCAACCCCCGCTACCCATGTCTGGAGTTTGAGGATAAAGCGTACCATTTTATCTGGCTTTTTTTTTTTTTTAAAGAAAAATCAATGATTCAAATTTGAATTCTTCATGGAGTTACTCAGTTTGGTTTTTTTTTCTGGCTTTGATCATTAGTGTTATTTTTCAAAGACAAAATTCTTTAGAAAAGTAAAGTTTATTAAGCTTTCAAGAGTCCTGTATTCAGCTATAAAAACTGATTTATGCTCTCTGATAGTATCATAAGATTTTATTGAAACACAACATAAATTAACCTTATCATCAAGATCCTTTGTACACACCCACTTTTCCTGATTCATAATGTGAATATTAGTTGTTTCAATGTACTTATGAATAAGAAACTCTATAAGCTAAACACTCTTGTTAATAATGCATATTTAGGATTGTGTAAAAAAAGTGAGGCAAGCAGTCCAGCATGGTGGTACATGCCTATAATCCCAGCATTGGGAAGCTGAAGAAGAAGAATCCTGAGTTCAAGGCTGGTTTTGTTGCATAGTGACACTTTTTCAAAACAAAAATAAAAACAAAAAAGATGGTTCATTGGATAAATCACTTGCGACATAAGCATGAGGACAAGAGTTAGGATCCCCAGCACTCACAAAAAAGTCCAGCATGCAATCACTACACTCAGCAAGTGAAGACAATGATTCACAAGGCAACCTGACTCAGTAAATAATTGTAGAGCGATGGAGGAAGACACCAGATGACTTCAACATGCACTTGCACCTGTAAATACACATACCCACGCACATGAAAACATGCACACACGCATGTACAGGTGCATTAAAAAAAAGAAAACAAAACAGAGAGAGGAGAGGAGAGAAGGCAAAAAGATAAGAAGACATCATGTCTTTTAGAACTTTTAGATTTTATTTTTATTTTATGTGTATGAGTATTTTGCTTGCATGTGTGCACACAATGCCTGTGGAGGCCAAAGGAGGACATCAGATCCCCTGGAACTAGAATTAGCCTGGTTGTTAGTTGCCAAGTGGGTGCTGGGACTTAAATCCAGGTCCTCTGCGAGAGCAGCCAGTGCTCTTATCTACTGAGCCAGCCCCAACAGGAACTAAAATTAATAATCAAATATCAGAATGGCATTAAAGCAGCAAATTTATTTCTACTCAAAAAATACAGGACTTCTACCATTGCCTATATAGAGTTAGCAGACTTTTCTAAATAAAGAGCATATTCTATGACATCAGATGCTGGCATCTGTTTCCAGTCCTACTCCTTCTCAGAGATATGGCAACTTAAAATGAATTTTTATGTTTCCTTAGCTGAAAATAATGAGGAATAGTAATGGTTCCTAAATCATAGAATTACTTTTATGATTAAATAAGATAATGTGTGTAAAAACAGGGCCAGGAATTTTTTTTTTACTTAATTTATTTTTTTTAATTAAAAGAAGCATTTCATTACACCTTTAACATAATAATTTCCAGAGCAAAGATACATCTCTTTCAAAAGTGACTATAAAATTTTTAGGTTTGCTGTTCAATGAATACAGTTACACAATATTGAACTCAGTATAAGCTCTGCCTCTTACAATCTTTCTGCCCCTTCT